AATTTAGAGGCCTGCAAGATGTCTACATAAAGATATCCTAGAGGTACTTAGATATAACCTGTTTGAAAATCAGAAGATAAAAAGAGTTAAAATAGAAGTGTAGATTTGCAAGTCATCCAGAGAAAGATGATACTTGAAGTCATAGAAGTTAAAAAGATCTATCACCAAAAACATATCACATATAGAGTGAAGAGAGAAGGTCCAGGAAAAACCATGAAAACCGTTCATTTTTAAGAAGCACCTGAGAGGAATATTTGAGTTGAGAACTATCCTGAGGTTCTTTTATTTCATTAATTTATGTACAAACAGAAATTTTACTGTATAGTTTGTTAAGGTCTTCATGTGAAAGTGATAGTTGAACTTGTCATTAACAGGTACAAATGAACAAATCTCAAAATGTGGACCTTAAAGAGTTTTGTTTTACTCCAAGGCCGTCCCTTCCCAGTATATCAAGGTACAAATACAATGTTACTATCTAAAATAAAATATTCATTTAAACTATGCTTCTCCAGATAACCACTTATTCAAGGGTAGTTGGTCACTGGCTACTCAGAGAAAAATCACAGTAATCATAACAATTATATCAGAAAGATTTCATTATCTTTCGTGTCCTAAATTTGCTTTATTTTATTTTTGTGTATTTGAGACAGGGTCTCCCTGTAGCTTCAGCTGGCCAGGAACTCCTTATGTAGACCAGGCTGGCCTTGAACTAACAGAGATCTGCCTGCCTCTGCCTCCCAAGTGCTGAAACTAAAGACGTGTGCCACCACACCTGGCTCCTAAATTTACTTTTAGAAGTTAACATTATAGAATGTTAACCTTTGTTGAATTATCTCTTTCTAGGAAACTGACCATCCCATGTGTCATTTCCCCAGGTTCTCTGCCTTCTAAAACTGGCAGGACATACTGCAGGTTCTCTGCCTTCTAAAAGTGGCAGGACACACTGTGCCTTAAAAGGGAGAACTGTGTTTGCATAAAAGCACCTTCAGGTGCTCATTCCATGCTAATAATCCCTCAGATTTGAAAAATATTTTATAATTTAAATTTTTGCTTTTGTGGAATATCTTTTTTGACCTTTAAAACAACCTGGCTCATAAAATAATTTTGTCTCATTTCATTTCATAGTATTGATTGATTGATATTTTGAGACAGCATCTTGGTATGTAGCCCAGGATGGCCTTGAACTCATGATATAGTCCAGGCTAATCTCAAACTCATGATCCTTTTGCTTCAGTCTCTCAATGCTGAGATTACAGATGTGTGCCACCATTCCTGATATTTATCTCATTTTATTAATAAAAATAAAAACAGACCTCATATTCCCAATTAGTAAGCAGAAGGCCTTAGATGAGAATTCATTGTTCTTTTCCTATATCATGATGCAGAGGAGACAGATATATGCAATTTCCCATACAGATAAAGGTATTCTTTTTTCTACATCTTAATATGTGTTTTTGACAGTTTAATACATGCATATAATGAATTTTGACAATTTCATCCCTATTAATGTCTCATCCTCCCTTCTCCCACTGAAATCCTCTTCCCAACAGGTCTTCTTCCTACTTTCATGTCATTTTGTGTGGGATCCATTGAGTTTAATTAGAATTCCTTCCATAAGCATATGTGGGAGATTATTTAATAGAGTATACACAACTTTCCCCAGCCACCATTAATTCTCAAGTAGTCCCTCAGGAAGGATCAGTAAGGCATTCTACGTGCAGAGATGAGATTCAATTTATTTAACAACTGACACAGCAAGAACTGACCATTCAGAATTCTAGATCCCAGAATAACTCCTAGAGATCTCAACTTTCATATATAACTGAAAATAGTCATATCATTGATCTTTAAAGCTGTATAATGATGACAGGTATCTACTGGGGACAATGTGAAACTGACTAAATATTGTTTTTACCCTTTTCTACCCAGACTAAATACAGTTTACCATATAAGTGTTGAGTGGATAAACCATACTTTTATCATGTATATGAACGAGTACTTTCCAAGGCCAAATTCCTTATATTTTCTCTTTATGGTTTTATTTATCTTCATAAAGGTCAGAATATTTAAACATTCCTGAATTGCCTATATTGGAACAGTGGAATCAGCATGAAGTCTGTGGAAAAGTTCAACAAAAACCATCTGAATATGGAGGCAAGGGTAAATTACTGTTGACATTGGCTTGGGAAGGAATATGATGATTACTCAGGTTAACAAGTCATTTAATTGAAAACCCAACATCTAACATTATTATGACTATTAACTTACAACGTTTTTCTCTTGGTTATTCAACAAATTTAAAATTCTTACTTTATTTCAGATGGTACTGCTATGTGTCAAAGATTTTTTTTAAATATCCCCCTACAAAGTGTTGACTATTTTATTTAAAGATAATATGAGGGAGCCAGGTGTGATAGTGCATTCCTTTAATCCCAGCACTTGGGAGGCAGAGGCAGGTGGATCTCTGTGAGTTCAAAGCCAGCCTGGTCTACATAATGAGTTCCAGGACAGCTGGTGCTACAGGGAGACCCTGTTTCAAAAAGACCAAGAAAAGAAAAAGAAAAAGAAAAAGAAAAGAAAAGAAAGAAAGAAAGAAAGAAAGAAAGAAAGAAAGAGAGTCTGAACACTATTATAAAATGGATAGGCAGCTTAAATTTTTCAACCCTCTTGTCTTTATCATTTAAAAAAAAACACATAGCACTCTGACATTTCTTCCTTATACTACTATAGTATTCTCTACACTTTCCCTGGAGACTTTAGGATTAAATGAGATAATCTATATAAAGTTTATAATTTAGTATCCGGTTCTCTTAATGGTTGTAATTGGGTATGTTTATTATACTTTTCACATATTAGTCTTTGCTGTCAAAATATATTTTAAACGTTGATAATGTTTTAAGAAAAACATGGCAATTTTTCTTATCAGTATTCTAGTTTCAAGAAAAGAAGAAAAAAGTATTAGAAATTATATGAAAAAGCATTTTGAATCATGAAATTTAATTTGGAAGGGCCCCTTGTGCAGTTTATTTTATACTAAAGGAAGTCAAGATTCTAAGAGATTAAATGACTCCGCCAAAATCACATACCTAATTAATGGCAGGACCAGAAATAGATTCCATATCTCTTGATTCCCTGTCCAATGCCATTTCTAGAAAATGAAATTGACTTTTAGTTAGCTGTAGAAAATTGAGTGTCGAACTTGCATTATATGAATTCTTCCAATTTTCCACCACTTCATCCTTCCCCACCCATGTATTTCTCTGTCTTTGCATCTATCCTTAACCCTCTATTGGGCTTGAAAGAATTATTTTTTCTTTTATTCAAGGTTTCATCTTAATCCTATGCAGTCCTTCCTTCTCTGGGATTTTAGGATATCAGTTATCCCTGTCTTTTTTCCTATCTTTTCATTGTCTAGTTTCTTGGTTTTGTTTATTTTTTTGAGACAGAGACTTTCCATATACCCCTGGCTAGTTTGAAATTGCTGTATAGCGCATGCTGACCTCACACTTACAGGGATCCTCCTGCCTCTGCCTCCTATGTGCTGGATTACAGGAGCCTACTACCACACCCAGCTCACTATCTACTTCCTGTTGTCTTTTCTCTTTAGCATATAAATATGCTTAAATCTTTTCCTTCTTCAGCCCCATGTTTCCATCATGACCTTTTTAGTTATAAAGAATTAAAAATTCTACACAAAGAAACTTAAGCAAACAGAAAAGTTACTGACTACCTCATGTAAACTGGAAGTCCAAGTAGGCCTCTGGCTTTAATCTTAGCCAGATCCAGGCACTCAAATGATCTTATCATGCCTCTGGCTTTTTATAGTCTCTCAGCTATGTTTATTGCTGATTGACTTGACTTGCTAAATATTAGGCTTTCTCACATGGCAGATAATCCCAAATTTATATCTTGCCAGTTTAAAACCTCAGTAGAAAAAAGGTGGTTTTCACTTTTAACTGCTCAGACCTGAGTTAATTCTCTTTCTTTCTTTCTTTTTTTTTTTTTTTTTTTTTTTTTGAGACAGGTCTTCTCAACTAGCCTGGAGCTCACTATGTAGACCAGGCTTGCCTTGAACTCACAAGTGATCTACCTGCCTCTGCCTCCTGAGTGCCTGAGGTAATTCTAACTGGTCTAACGTATTCATCCAGGATTGATCTCTGTAGCTGGCAGGTGAGCACTCTGTCCCTGTGGCTCTTAAGTAAAGCAGGGTACTAGCAACAATAGCCTCAGCAGGATCACCTGGAATGGTGATGTGTTCCTAAAAGTAAAAGGAGGCTTCCAACAAAAGAAAGGACAACATGTCAAACAGATCACAAACAGAATCCCATGGTCTCTATATCCTCTTATCTCTTGTTTTCTCATCAAATCAAAAACATATTGAAAACAGTTTACACCCACTTTGCTCATTTTCTTATATCCTGTCAATATTTACTCATTAAAATTTAGGTTATTCATCATTACTTTGAAACTGCTCTTGCTTGGGCTAGTTAGTGACTAAATGTTCAATTAAGTGAACTCTTCTCAACTTTTACTTTTTGACTTCTGAGGATTTGCTACTTTTGTTCTTTCCTTCCTTGAGAAAGTTTCTCCTTTGGTTTCAGTTAAATCAGTCTATTGGTTACTTCTCACTGTTGTTGGGTTTCTCTTCTATTGATGGTTCAAATGGCTCTATCATCCTTCCTCTGTTTCTCTGTCTCTGTCTCTATGCCTCTCCCCTCCCCCTCCTCCCCCTCTTCTTCCTTCTCGTCTCCTCCTTTCTTCCTTCTCTCTTCAAACTCCTTTCTTCTCACTTCAGAACTTCTAGACAATGTCTTCATGCCATGTCTTCAGTCACTGACTAAATACTGATGATTTCTAAGTCTTTATATTTTTCTAACCACACATCCACCTATACACTCACCCTCCTGGACACATTTACCTAAAAGTTAATATCATCTGCATCTAAACTCACTGTCTTCTTTATGCTGCATTCTATTCTTTCTCTTATTCATTCCTTAGGTCAGTGAATGAACCTTCTGAGCTGCTAAACGCAGAAAAAGAATCATCCTAAATAACTCACTCCCTATGTAATTAGTCACTAAAACCTAAATATTTTGCCTCCTACACAGCTCTCATATCTGTGCTTTGCTCACTATCTTTGTTACTGATACTCTAGCTTAGATATTTTTTCTCATTTCTCATTATTTCAATAATTTAAAAAATTTTTTCCCTGATTCTAGTCTTATTATCCTGTAGTCCATAAGTATTCCAAGTGATCAAACAGGCATACCTGATCATGTAACCTTCTTGCAAAAGCATTTTCAATAATTATCTTTTTAAAATAATATTTATTATTTTTATTTTATGTGTATGAGCATATTGCCTGCATGTGTGTAAGTATACCTGTGTCGTGCAATGCGCCCAGAGGTCAGAAGAAGGTATCGGATCCCCTGGAACTGGAGTTACGGACAATTGTTAGCTGCCATGTGGGTGCTAGGAATCAAACCTGGTTTCTCTGCAAGAGCAGCCAGTGCTCTTTACCACCGAGCCATCTGTCTAGCTCTTACAGGAGACTCCTTTTTTTGCCCTCATTACTCTTTTCTCTGCATTTCCATGGCACTTGGTATCTATTTCCTCTTTTAGTGAATATCAGATCAGATGCAAAAGTAGAATGGTGTGCAATAAACCCTAGCACAACTAAAAGACAAAGTAGGTTCAAACAGACGGAGAAGCAGAGAGAGGGTGTTTCAAGTGAAGAGAACTAAGTGTATATTCTACATCAGGCTTGTTACTGCCTTAAGAAAATCTCTTGTTACATTTTTGGGATCTTCCAAACATTATTTTTTAAATGAAAATTTAGTCAAATAAATTGTGTTATAAACAAAGACAATAATGCTCAAACCTATAACTTTCAAATCTACCATATTTCACTGTTATTTGTGGTCTTGGTATTATTTTTCTTTTTTAAAAATATTTATTAATATGAGTATGTATTGCCTACATGTATGTGAGTGCACCATGTCATGCAGTGCCGTGGAGGTCAGAAGAGGGCATCAGATTCCCCTGGAAATGGAGTTAAGGACGGTTCGTAGCTGCCATGTGGGTACTAGGAATCGAACCTGGGTCCTCTGTAAGAGCAGTCAGTGCTCTTAACTGCTGAGCCATCTCTCCAGCCCCAATATTATTTTTCTGCTTGGGAAAATCCTGTAGAGTAGAGTGCTACAGAGTTGTTTTCAGTAAGAATTAAAATCCATTACAAATTATAGGCCCAGCAAGATGGCTCAGTGGGTAAAAGTGCTTACGGTGCAAGCCTGGCGACCTGAATTCAAGCCTCAGGACCCATGTAAAGGAGGAAGGCAAAAACCAACTCCACAAAGTTTTCCTCTTACCTCCACATATGTACCATGGCATGCACACTCACATACACACATCATGTAAACACACATACACACAATAATAATAATAATCCACTAAAAATGAAATTGAGTGCTTCTATCAATACAAATAATACAGTAAATAGAATTGTCTGAACATAATATTCAACAATGTTTGACACATGCTTTTG